GAGAGAGAGAGAGAGAGAGAGAGAGAGAGAGAGAGAGAGAGAGAGAGAGAGAACCATGGAGGGGAGAGAATATGGAAGGAGAGAATTCGGAAAGAGAGGACACAGAGAAAGCATGCCCACTCTTTAGACTGGGACGCTGTTGCAGGCTGGTGACATAATTAAGGACATAATCCTTACATCCAAAACTTTTGCTTATTATTAAAAAAGAGCAGGTAGATGGGAATAGGGGCGTCGTTTCTCTCAAAAGTTGCTTCCAGCTGACTATTGGACGTCGGTTGGCTCTTGGGAGAATGGGGAAGGGGAGCCTTCCGAGGTAGACAGGCGTTGTGGGATGCTGTCTGCCATCCGTTTGCTCTGGAGACATGTATCCCCCTTGGCTGTGGCTGGGAACCTTTTGTCTGACAAGATGTTGGTGACACAGAAAAAAGCTTAGAGAGAAAAGAATCATTATTATTATATGTTGGTAGATCCGGCCTGTCCAAATGGATCATGTTAAGTTTTATCAGAGACAGATTATTTTAAAGCACCTGCTTCCTTTACTAGTTCAGCATCCAGGAGACAGGTGGTCAATTGTTAAAAGCATCTTACAGTAATAGATGTTTACATTAAAGTCTTTTTTGTAGCACCCAGACACTTTTGGGTCTGGGTGTGTAAATACCTTTTAACTGTTACAGTTCTTACCTCATGATCTCTGGCTTCCGATTCTGTGGTGGTCCTGTACCATTACCTGAACAGTGAGTTAGAACAGGGAACTGGGAAGAGAAAAGCTTATGGTGCATGAAAATTTATTTTTTTTGGAATTAGGGACAAGGCAAAGATCAGGACCCTGTCTGTATGCACGTGAGAAACACAGGCAGTAGATCTGGAGTGAGACAATGAAATGAAAGCTCCTATCTTAGCTGGAAATCATTTTTTATTAAGTAACTCTGAAAGTGCAATTAAATCTGGTGAGGTGGTAATCTGGTGTCCTCTGTACCCAACAATAAGGGAGAGGTGACATCCCAAAACTCCCAGGACTGAGTCAGTGGTTCTGGTGCCCAGAAGGACAGAAATGGATTGCTTCCCTGCTGCATTCTGGGTTCCCTGCCATGTCTGTAGCCAAGCCTAGGTCTGCTGGAGGTCTTAGCTTGATGTACCCATGCATCTTGGTGCCTAGGGGCAGTCAGCTGACTCTGTCTTTCTAAGCGGCACTTTTAACAAGGATGTTGATGGCCTGGCAGGGCATTCGCTAGCCCATGGCCTTTTTCCTCACTTAAAACATGAACCCAACAGTTTTTGGGAGTCAGCGAGTGCCACCACTTGGCAATTTTTTTTTCGGGCTTTTATCTCTACCCTGGCACACCTTAAATGCCACAGATGACTCTTTTGCCTGTGGGGTCAGGAGCCTTGCTCTCCAGATATTTAAGTCGGGGAGGTCTGGGGAACAAGAGACAGATTTTACTCCGTGCCCTGAATTTTTTTTTCTGATGATTGGTGGCTTAAGGACAGCTTTTGGAAGATCTGCCAGGAGGCAGACCATAAACCGATCCTTTTGGAAGACTTGTCTGAGGCTATAAACTGATTTTTGGCTTAGGAGCCATCCTGACTATTGTAAACTTATTTGTATGGATCTTAGCCGCTTCCAGATCTGTCTGTGTCTCCCAAAGCAGTTTGAGAATGAGTGGGTGGAGTTAAGGTGAGTTAGGGAAGAGAGTCGTAGCAGCCGCCCAAGCCCACCCATTTTTAGCTCGCCTACTGTGGGCAGAAGTCAGACAGAAAAGGTTGCATGTGGCAGAGGCAGAAATGGGGAGGGAGAAGGGTTCAGAGCTTTGGCAGAAAGCTTGGGGATGAAGTGACTCTTTTATTTGCACATTCGCTGCCAGAAGTTCCCGCGACACTGTTATGTAGACAGATTGACAGGTACCCGCCCCTATCCGCCAATGTAAGTGGTAAATGTATCTGCCTCTTTGTTCCATGGCTGTAGCCGAGAGAAAAATAAAAAATTAAAATAACAAACCGGGATCAGACTCCAATCTTGGGCATCCTCGAGAGTGAAGAGAGATCTATGAATCAGCTCAAGTTCCCATCCTCTTCATCAAGGAAGGTAAGGGCTGTAGCTCTGCTGCAGTTGGTCCATGGTGGACCCGAGACAGCATTTACCGCCTCGTCAGGAGCAAAACTGTGCCTGCCGTTGCTAGCACAGCCCGAGGACAACCCCGTGGTGTCCGTCGCAAAGAATATAGCTCAGACTACAGCCTCGAGAATGGCGGACTCACTGTGGGGAAGAATCATGGCGGTAGCAGTGGTGGTAGCTGTGTGGGTCCAGCGGAGTCGAGGGACGATTGTGGTCTCGCGGTCTCGCTGGATGGGGAAGGAGGTGGCAGGCAGCAGCGGTCACAGCAGGTCCTCGGTGGTTTATCCAAGCCTGAATGGCACCAAATGTTGGTTAGGCGGTGGCGCTCGCTCGTGGCTGGCTGCCATCTGCCATGGCCATGCTGAAGGAGGAGAGCGCTGGATGTATTGGTGACGGAAGAATCACGAGCCATGGTTACCTTTCTAAACCTTTATTGGGAGAGAAGGGTGGGGGGAGAGAGAGAGAGA